TCATGAGGAAGGTATATAATGGTTACTTGCATTTTACTCATTGAACTAGATGACTTACAAAACTTTCTTCTAATTGTAAGATGCTCTAATCCGTGTATCATTGACTAATGAGAAACCAGTTAATAACATCTTTTGATGTATGACAACATAGATATTTCCTTGTTTCCCAAGGACAGAGGAGTTAATTCTGTGAGAACATCAACAGAACTTCACTCTATAATTATTCAAGTAATGCAAGCTTGAAACCTTATCAACTTAGCTGTCATATGAATAAAACCCTTTGTTAGGAATTTTCCATAACCATGGAGTGTTACTAATGAATACCACACAACCTTTTTCTGGAGGTCTTCTATTTCTGAAATCCTTTGCTAGTAAAACACCATTTGGAAAAAGCTTATCAAGGAATCCCAAATTTCTCATCTCAGAGAGATGTTTTGTCCTCAGAGAGACCTTCCCTAATACTCTTTTGTTTATGTCATACTTAACACCAACAAATAATTTGTTTACTAATTTGTTGTTGGTCTCTGTAGTGTTTTGTGACTAAATGTCCTCCCAAAACTTTATGTAGTCATAGATGGAGCTTCAGAGGTGGCTGGATCTAGGGTCTATGATGATGAGATTTAAGTGTGTGATGCTGGGATTAAGGGTGTGTGGTTACTAAATTAGTCCAGTGATTGGTTTGGCATAGTTCTGGGTGTGGATAATGGGAAGACCCACCTTGGGTGTGAGTGCTGCTCACCCCAAGGGCGTGTAGCTTGGATGGATATAAAGAGAAAGAAAGAAGGCAGGCTGGTTGCTTGCTGCTGCTGCTTTGCTACTTTGCTGCTTTGCTGCCTTTTGCCCACCATGAACTGTTTCTCCTGTGTGATACCCTCTGCCATGTCACCCTGCCTTGGAGCCAGCCAACTATGAACTGAAACCTCTACAAACTGTGAGCTACAATATATAAGCAATTTTGAGAGAAAGGGAGAGAGAGAGAGAGAGAGAGAGAGAGAGAGAGAGAGAGAGAATGAACTTATATGCCTTGCTCATTGTAGTTCCTGTAGCATTCAGAAGAAAGCTAGGTACATAAAAATATGATAGATATAACTGAATTAACATAATATCTAGGTTAGGAGATGCAGCAGTATCTGAGCAGTAACTCAGTCCTTGCCACAGAGTGTCTGGACTTGTATAATTTAATCTATGCTGAACCCTGACACACAGTATTTGCCATGATGACAGAATGTGATTACTGCCCCCTGTTAGTTAGGAGGACTTCATAAGTTAAAGGCCATCAAAGAATATTCCTTTTGTTATCCAGCCATATGAAAAAGAATCCCAGTTCCATTATTTTCATTTTAGTTTTTACTTTGAAGTTCTTTATATTTTTAAATTTTTCAGTGGAATTCTATTCATCTTTTAATGTTACATTGTTGGTTGTGGAGCTCAGAATTTTTGTACTTTTTTCTAGCCATAGAATTATGTAGTTAACCTATCAGCCAGATAAAATGTCCTTTACTCTCTAGCACAGTTGCATAGATTACTCTTTAGAAGTACCTTTTCTTCTTTTCTTGAGATCTCTTATATCTTCTCCCAGCCAATGGCTTTGTTTCATATTGTCATATTGTGGTTATTTGTTTATTTTGATGCTGGCAGTTGAACCCAAGGCCTTGGAATGTTATGCAAGCACTCTGCCACTGAGCTCCAGCTCCAACACTTGTTAAATGTATTATTGAGAAAACAGATACCATTAATCAATGTTATGGCTTGTATTTAGATGTCCCTCCAAAGCCTCATGTGATCATAGGTGGGGCTTTTTCAGTGGTGGCTGGATCTAGCATGTGTGATTGATTCATGGTGCAATGCTAGGATTAAGGGTGTGAGTGCCATCTGCCATAAGAGATACAATATAAGGGACAGAAAGATGCTTGCTGCTAATTACTTGTACTTTGTTGCTTGCTTGCTTTGCTACTTTGTGTGTGCAGGAACTGTTTCTCTTCTGTGATGCCTATCTGCCATTCTGCCCTGCCTTGAAGCCAGCTAATTATGGACTGAAACTGTGAGCTAAATAAACCTTTCCTCCTTTAATTCTGGGTGTCGGGCATTTTGTCTCAGCAATGAGCAAAGTAAGGAAGACAGTCAGGAACTCCATTTTTCCTTTGCCATTTATTTCCTTTACCCATTTATTTACCTTATCTACTTTCCTTCTTAATACTTGAGTAGTGAATCCCTACTCCTATCTCAGGCCAGAAGCCACTTGTACATTGGATTCCATCCCCTCTTCTAAAACATTTTGATTCTCCCAGTATCATTCTTACATCAATAAATTTTCATCTTCTACAGGATTTTTTTCCATCTATGCATATATAAACTGTACTATGCTTTATTTTAGAGAAAAACAAATTGTAGCTGTTTCTCCACTTTCTAGTTACTTTTAATTTTAAAAAAATTCTTATAAAAATTGTCTATTAGTCATTCATTGTCTTTGGTTCCTTACATTTTTCTCCATAGTCCACTTTGATCACATTTTTTTCCCTGATATTTTCCATTATTTTCAAGGTCACTAATAACTTTCAAGTTGTTGAATCCAGTCACTATTTCTACATTTTTATTTTATTTAACCTTCCCCTGGGATTTGACCCACATCTTTTTATAACAAAACAAATAGTTTTCCTTTCCTTTTCCCTTGACTTTTGTGGGACTGTATATCTTGGAAACTTTAGACATAGACTTTTGTAATCTGTTGAAGCAGCTCTTCCAGGAGAAATCTGTAAAGAAGTGAAGGAAGCAGGGCAGGAGAGGGGAAAACCCTAAGCAAAGATGTGGTTTGTGATAATTTGTTATAGCAGCAACACAGGACTAATACTGTCACAGACTCTGGATTAAATCTTTTCATTCAACTGCCACTATGAATGTATTTTAACTTCACCTCCACAATAGAATAAGACCTCATAGGTGGTAGATGTACTGTATTTTTTATAAAAAGCAAGATAATCATAATTTTCAGTAAAAACATGTGGAGCTAAAACCTTTACCATGAATTCCTAGAATATGAAATTTCATTGTAAAAATCTGTGTCTCCTTTATATTAATTTACATTTTGTTATTTAAATTATTATACCAAATGAGTGGGATATAAACATAATTATAAATTGCCTAATTTTTCTTCTTAATCTTTTTCTGTAAATGTAAATTCATTTGTTAAAATTCCCATTATTCTTTTTTTCCTCTTAATATTAAACATCTAAAGTGTGAAGTATCAGAATAATAAATGATGTTTGGTATGAAAAACATAGTTGGAGAGCACAAATAGATTTGACATCAAAGAAAATTGCCATGTTTTAGAAAACAACCTTGTATCATTGATTTATTGAACTAGACCAAGAAAGAAGTTTTTAAACTCCTGCTATGCAATGTTCTTCCTATGTCTGATAATTTGTCAGTAGTAGGACAGGCACATATAGAGTAGATCTTCTCTATTTATACCATTTCAGAAGTTGCCTTTGTAGGTCTTCTATCTAGAATCTATAAAGAACTTAAAAAAATCAGACCTCCCAAATTTAAAGACCCAGTCCAAAAATGGGCATCTGAAATGAATAGAGATGTCTCAGACAAAGAAGTACTAATGGCAAATAAACATATGAAAAATTTTTCACCTTCCTGGTCATTTGAGAGATGCAAATGAAAACAACTCTGAGATTCCACCTTACCCCAGAAAGAATGACTACTGTCAAGAAATCAACCAATAACAAATGCTGGCAGGGCTGTGGGCAAAGAGGAACACTGCTCCACTGCTGGTGGGAGTGTAGACTGGTGCAACCACTGTGGAAATCAGTATGGAGATACCTCAGAGAACTAGGACTGGAAGTCCCATTTGACCCAGCTATTCCCCTGCTAGATATCTTCCCCAAAGAATTAAAAGAATCATATCACAGTGATATATGTGCACCCATGTTCATAGCAACATAATTTGTAATAGCTAAAAGTTGGAAACAGCCCAAATGCCCATCAACTGGAGACTGGATAAAGAAAATGTGTGTGTGTGTGTTTTTTTTTATAAAATGGAGTACTACTCAGCCATAAAAACGAGAAATTAGAGACATTTATAGCTAAATGGATGCACATTGAGGCAATACTCAAGTGAAATAAATAGGACACACGTGTAAATATTGAATAGTTTCTCTAGTGTGAAAAACTGAAGGCATAAATAAGCACTAAAAGGTATAATAGATAATGAAATAGGAAGACAAGGGACAAAGGGGAAGGGGAAGGGGTAGGGGGAAGGAAAGAAGGGAATGGAATTAATATGAGAAAATGAAAAAATGGAAACAAAGTCTTTGTAGTTAAGGAGGGTTGGAGGGGTTGAAGGGAAGGCAGGGGAAGGGAGAAAACCAAGAGAGATTATGTAAAGATGCAAATTTCCAAGATGAATGTCATTATATTGTACATCTAAAATGTACCAATAAAATAAAATTTTAAACAAAATTTTTTAAAAGTTGCCTTTGTAAACTTTGTGATCACATAGAATCACATCAAAACTGAAGGCCCCGATGCTATCTCCATGTAATAGAGCAGACTTATTGGCTTATGTGAGGTAGCTTACTTGGGAATAGTATGCAGGAGGACCTCAGGACTTTGTGTTTCTTATTTCAGGAAAACAGTCCATTACTGTTTTTAATGGCTGCTTCTCTGGACCACAGTGTTAGGTTACTGCTGGGTTTCTCAGTGAGTTATGAATGCATTGTCAGCTGTGTTTTAAAATGTCCTGGGAACAATTTGTCATACAATTTTAATGAAGTTAAGTGTTTTAATTGATTTAATTGATGAAATAGTGTTTGAGCATGAAGCCCAAATGAACTTTATTTATAAATATAACTTTGGTTGTAAGTAAAATAATCGAAGATTATCTTAAAAATTTCTTAGATTAGGTATCTCTGAGCCAAAGGGCTAAATTATTTCTTTTCTCATTGGAAGGCAGATAAAGCACGTGTCCATTAAATATAGAGATATTTTTGCAGTTGATGGTAGTAAATATGGGAAACAATCTTTTAGAAGAAGTTCCAGAAGAGATAAAATACCTTACTTCTCTGAAGACACTTCATTTATTTAGAAATAGGATTTGTAGATTTGCCTCAGGAGCATGTGGTAAGTCAGTCAGAGAAAAATGACATTATTATCATTTAATTCTTCATATTTAGTAATATGGGACTGAAAAGAAAAATTTCACAGGCTATAATTTTTTGTTGGAGATATTTACATATTACTCTTAAAATTTAGATATTTTGGAGACATAACTTTGTTTTTTAATTTTTGTGTCAAAAATTTTTATAGTTAGAACTAAGAGAAGAAACAAACATTAGTGTTAATGAATTTTGCCCTTTTCAGAATTAGTGCATATTCAGACTCTTGATTCAAGAGGCCCTTTTCCTAAGGCAAAGGGAAAACTTTTTGAAATTCAAGAAAAGCTCTCCACAGCTCTTCTTGTTATTTTCACTTTTTATTCTATCCCAGGTATTAAATCACAGTCTCTGATTAAGATAGTAAATTTAAGTCAATTTGGGGAGAAGTTTAAAGAAAAATAGCATTCTTTTCTTTGTATTTGTCAAAAATTAATTTTTCCATTCAATGTGAAGCTCTTCTTATTTGATGTAGTTTGAATGGGTTTAGGGACATACATAACAAAGAAATCCAGGTAATTTTAATAGTCTTATTGTCATGTAAGGTACTTCACCACCTTATATGTAAATTTGTGTATTAGTCAGTTTTCCATCACTGACACAGTTTAAAAGGAGGAAAGATTTATTTTTCCCTATGGTTTCAGAGGTTTCAGGTTGCATGGCCCTGTTGCATTTGGACCTATGGTAAGCCAGACTATCATGGCTACAAGTGCATGGTAGAGCAAAAGCTGCTCACTTCATGGTGGCCAGAAAGCGATGAGGAAGGGGTCTAGGTTTCAGTGTCCCCTCCGAGGGCACACCCCTGATGACCTTATTTCCTTCTACTAGGTCCTACCTCCTAAAGATTCCACCACCTCCCAATAGTGTCATCAGCTGGGACCAAGCCTTTAAACACAGTGACACCTTTTAGAAACGAGGGCCCAAACTGCAACCTCAAATCCACTTATTTATTGCAAAGTGACAACACTGCAGTTCAACCTAAATACTGAGGTTTTAGTTTAGAAACTGGTGTCCACTGTTCTGGAGCTGGGGTGACTTGGCTCACGTGCTGACAGAGAGGGCTCTGCACACCAGCTGTGGCGCGCCTGCCATAGGTTCACCTCTACTGGTTTACACATTGAGCCTTGGGGACATTGCAGATGCAAACCATAAGAGTTTCCAGTGATAAATCTGGAGAAATGTTTAGAATTTATAAATTTCTATGAAATTTTTGGCACTATGTATAATCATAGTCATCTTTAAGTAGTTTCTAAAAGCATCATTGGATACAGCATTATATCTGAAGTTATATTTGGCAAATAATCTGCTTTAGTACTGTCTCTAGGTACTTTATTTATTTATTATTTATTTATTGTGCTGGAGATTGAACTCAGGGCCTCACATAAGCTGATCAAGTGACCTACCACTGAGGTACAGCGTCATCCCTAAAGGTATAACTTTGAAAATCCTTTATGATCAACATAAATTATATGTCATTTCTTGAGTACCTGGGATAGAAGTAATTTGTTGTCAGGTAGTTCAGTGCAGTCCGGTATAGGTCTGGAGATCTTTGTTGTTACGTATGACCTGTCCCCCTGACTGCAGCAGTTGACCCAGGGAAGACATGCATCCTCAGGCTGAGTCGGTCATATGCTGTATTTCTTTAGGAATATAATAGTGTCTAAAAGAGCTTCATTGACCTGAGAAAATCACACAGCCTGAGACAAACTGGTGGCCCATGGGCTGAATCTAGTTTATAAATAGGGTTGCCTCTGTTTTGAACCTTTTAGTTTTTGAACAAGGTGCCAAAATTTTCAAATAGGAGAGTACACAATAAGTCTACATCTCTAACTGTTTTGGGCTGTTTTTTAAAAAAGAAAGATTAAGTAACACTGCAATAGCATTCCTAGATGATAACAATTGTGAAATGTTAGCTGTGTGGCAGTGGCACTGGGTGACAAAGTATAGGGTTATCTTCTTGGTTCCTATGGCATTTGAGATTGGGAACTCTGCCTGTGCAATCTGTGAACATTCTAATGGCTCTGAATACATGGGAAAATAGATCAAATCTATTCAAAAGAGAAAGAGTAGGTTAAAGACGGGGAGAAACAGAGATCAGAGAGACAGAGACAGAGAGATGAGAGCATATGTATACACACACACATATATGGATGAGTATGAAGCTGAGAATAGATTTAATGAGAAAATAAACTATGTGTTCTACAGAGATATCAGAAGGATACATCTCTTGTTCTGAGTGCCTTTTAGTTTCTGGTTCCAATTATGATAAACTTGGTTGTACCCTCTGTCCTTAGAAACCATGAATAAACTTTTTAACTTCCTAATAAATTTGCCCTTTTGTCTGAGCTAATTTATGAGGGTGTCTGTCAGCAGGAACCAAAAGAGCCTTGGCCAAGACAAAAAGCCAGAAGGAAAGCAAAGGTGTGTAGCAAAGTGACTAAAAATTATTTTCTAACAGATGGCTACAGTGACTAACATTATTTTCTAACAGATGGTTTACAAAATTTGATCCTGCTTAATCTGAACAGCAATCGGCTTACACAGCTTCCTCAGGAAGTCAACAGGTAATTTTGTTTCCAGCAAGAGCTGTTTGAACATCTGGCCCAGTCTCATCTCCGTCCTGATCTTCTGAAAGCATCGTGCCCAGCCTTATTGTGCCCATGCACAATGAACAACAGTACCTAATTGGTGGGATTTGGACATAGCATGGAGGGTCGGAAGAACTGAAACAGGCCACTGATATTAAGCAGATGATTCCTCAGACACTTCGGAGAAATGAGAAACATTGTGACTTGGAAGTCTAAGTTTAAAAGTGGGAGTTTAACGCATGAAGTTCTAAAGCTGATGTTTCTGATTTCCCAACTCTGAGGTTCTTGGAGCTTCCTTAGCCATGGAATTTGAGACATTAAATTTTATTTCATGTGAGTGTTGTAAATGATTTTGAGTTTGGTGAAAATGTAATATAAAGGCAAAGGATTTAATACTACAATGTCATTTTTATTAAAAAAAAACAACAACCAAAACCTATACTTTATTATCATTAATAACAACAAAGCATTGTTTTCCCTTATCCCACACATCAGCACCAATGAGCTGCCATTCCCATGCCTTTGTGGAGCCGGCCCTGTCCTTCTCCAGGCAAAATGTCCTCTTGGCCTTTTCCCCCAACAGATGGAGAGAGAATTCTGATCAGATCGCTTTGGAGAGACACTATTTCCTGTTGAACAAAACCAGATGTATTACAAAGTAAGAACATCCAGAGTTTTAAAGGAGGATGCAAAACTATGCACAATCCTCAACATAAGGCTTGAAAGTCTACTCCTATTCTCTTGTCTATAACTCTAGCTAAGGTATTATTTTTTGCAAGTATATTTTTTTTAGGGAAAGTAATATTGTAACTCAGGGCAATTAGTAAACAATTAAATCAATCTAATATCTATCAAAGAGAAATGCTATTTCATGAAAATATCAATAGTTATCTTTTTTCTTTTTCATTTATTTAGTTTATCAATTGATTTATGTACTAAGGCTGATAGTACATCAGTACTATCATTTGGAAGATCTAGTGAGTGAGATTCAGCCCATATATCTTTTTACAACTAGCCTTCTGACTTTGGATGAGTAATTTAATTGGGATCTCATCTACCTCATCTATTATTGGAAGATTTTTAAAGAGATGAACTTCAAACTTCTTGCAGCTATAATATGTTATACTTTCACGATATATAAAGTTTATCTATGGAGGCGGATATACACTATTTAAGGAATCATATAAATCTAAGGTTATATGTTATTTGAAAGCTTCCACTGGAAAAAATTGAATTGCAAAGTGTATAGGTCCATGTTTTATAACTACTTCTAGGTTGTCTTTATTCTGGCTGGGCTCTAAATGAAAGCTGATTGGTCATTTACCCAAGAAGAATTGTTTCTTGCTCCCGGGGAAATCACTTTGTCTTCCCATACCTTAATGTCCTCATCTGCACAATGAACATAACAGTAACCTACTTCATAGTGTTATGAGCTTCAAATATGCTCATCCGTAAGTGGTGTATTTAGGGTTGAGTAAGTGATGGATGGATATTAGCTTTTATTATTATGGAATGTTATTTTTATTCTAGCTCTTCTCTGATCCTCTCATTCAACTCCTTTCCAGAGATAAAAGAAGGACTTATGGGTGAATTTAGAAAAAGCATTGAGCATACATGGCTTGACATCCTCTTCTTGCTCTCCCAGGAAGTAAGCAGCAAGAAGGTTATGAATGTTTAATTTGAAGGAGTGCCTGTAGGGGAGAGTCATCATGTGAGCTACATGCTAATGCTTTATTTTCTTCCAAGTCCCATGTCTTATTTCTAAATTTGTTCAGAACCCAACAGTGTAGAGAGGACTTTAATGTTCTGCTTTGCTATAGGTACAGGCTGTCAGTTCATGGTCTTGAAGTCAAAGGGGCAGCTAAGAGTTTTACCACTAAACAACTTTTCATGGATGGAAGTACAGAGCTATAGGAAGAGGAGAACCTGTTTGTCCTGCCTGGGAATAGAAATTCTCTGAAAGAGAGAGAGAGGGAGAGAGTAAGGGACCAAGCCAGTGGGCTCAGGTCTTTCTCTGGATTCACCAACCAGTAAACTTAGGGAAGAAGGAGGAAGAGGAAAACTCCTCCTATAGGTTTCCTTAAAAAAGTCAGTTCTCTCTGCTGTGTGGAAATAAGAATGGTGATAGATACTATTTTGCTGCTCTCTTCTTTACTCATCTAAATACACAATGGATACATTTACAATAGGCTCTGAACTCAGTTTAGTGTCTTGAAACAGAAAAAAAAGATAGAAGAGAAAAGGAAAAAAAAGCAATTCCCATATAGTAATCCAGAGTAGAGTCAATTAAAATAATGACTCTAACAATGATTAATGAAAAATTCTCCATTCCTTTTTCCACAGCACCTATCCATACACTTTTACTACTTTTCAAACTGGGTTTTCCTTATTTGACTCTTTACACTCCTTGTAAATAAATGACTTTCTATTTTACCAGAAACACTTGAGCTTCCTCTATTCTTTTCTTTCAACCTCTTTATCTCCATTTGTCAACTTCTTCCCTTTCTCTCTAGTTTCCTCATCCTCCTTTAAAGTGCTGCCTGTACTTATCTTTTGTTCCCTCTTTGTCTCTTTGTAAATTTTCTTCTGCCCTCTTCATTCTACTGTAGATCATTTTCAAAGGTCATTACTGCCCTTTTGGTAATGACATTATTTTTCTGCTGAATAAACATTACATAAAACTTATGAGTGTACAATTTAATGAATTTTGACAAATTCTCCCTTCCAGTGTATCCTTACCATCTCCTCCTCCTCCTTCCTCCTCTTCCCCTTCTTCTGTTTTTTATATAGGACTGGAAATTGAACCCAAGGCCTTCACACTGACATACATCCTCAGCCCTTTATTATTTTTTTATTTTGAGACAAAGTCTTGTGAAGTTGCCAAGGCTGGGCTGGAATTTGTGATCCTCTTGCTTCAGTTGTCCCGAGTGCTGGAATTACAGACATGTACCATCACACAGGGCTGAATTCTTACTCCTTATAGGCAAACAATATTCTGATTTCTTTGTCTACAAAGTAGTTTTGCCTGTTCTAGCACTAAGGGAATGGAATCATACAGTGTATACATACTCTTTTGTGTCTTCTTTTGCTTAGTGAATTTTTTTTAGATTAATCTTACTGTTGCCTTTATCAGTACTTGTTTTTTGATTATCCCGAATAACATTTTGTTGTATGGGTAGTCCATAAAGCCTTTGTCTTTTCTCCTGTTTATCTACATTTGGGTTATTTCTAGTTTGGAGCTAAATTATCACACATATTCTTGTACAAGTCTGTGAGTGAATGTTAATTTCTCATTTCAATTCCTAAGAGTGGAATTGTAGAGTCATAACATATAAGAGTACATGTGTATGTTACGTTTGAAAAATTTGATAATGCTTTCACAAAATGGTTGTACTATTTTACATTCTAGTCAGCAATTTTTAAAAATTTATGCATTCAAGTGGGTATGAAATAAAATCTCATTCTAGTTTTAGTTTGCATTTTCCTGATATCTGATGATGTGAAGCACTTTTTAAATGGTCTTACCATTTATATAACTTCTTTTGTGAAATATCTGTTTTTAATGTTTTGTTCATTAAAACTTGTGTTGTTTATTATAATTGAGTTGTAAGATTTCTTTATTCTGGGTACAAGAGCTTTGACAAATATATTTTCTTTCATTATGTGGCTTATCCTTTAATTTCTTAACGGTGACTTTGATGAATTAGAGTTTTTAACTTTGATATAGCCTAATTATATTGCATGTACCCTTTTTTTTTTGGTTTTTTTGGTACCAGGGATTGAACTTGGGACCTTGAGCTTGTGAGGCAGGTGGCAGCACCACAGAGCTAAATCCCCAGCCCTTGATATAGCCTAATTATAAATACATTCTAAAATAATTAGTGTTTTTTGTGGCCTTTTAAAGAAATCTCTGCCTTCCCCAGAGTTATCAGGATAGCACCCTATCCTATATTTCCTTTTAAAAGGAAAAAGGTCTAGTCTTTGACTCTATGATCCATCTCGAATTAATGTTTGTACGTGGTGTGAGGCAAAGATCAAAGTTCATGTTTCTTCCATATATTTATCCAGTTGTGCTAGCAGCATTTGTGAAAGATTATCTTTTTTTTTTCTTTCTTTTCTTTTTTTTGAGATAGGGTTTCTTTATGTGTTCCAGGCTGCCCTTGAACTCAAACTTGCAGCGATCCTCCCTCAGCCTCTCCAGAGCGCTAGGATTTCTCATTTAAATTGCCTTGATACCTTTTTCAAAAATCAATTGATTGTTTATAGATCATTGGGATTCTGTTCTGTTCCACTGGTTTATTTTCTGAGTAGCTTATAGAAAAAGAAAATTTATTCACAGTTCTGGAGGCTGAGAAATCAAATTCAAGGTGCTGGCAGATTTGGTATCCAGTGAGGTCCCATTTCCTGGCTCATGGAATGGCTCCTCCTCCTCGTGTCCTTACATGGTAGAAAGGGCAAGGCAAAAAAAAGAGGGCAAGTGCCTCTCTTAAAAAGATGCAGATTCCATTTGTGGAAGCTCCATCCTCAAGATTTAATCACCCTCTATTTCCTTGGTATCATAATGGTGATTAGGCTGTAACGTGAATTTCGGGGGGACACAGACATTCAGACCATAGCACTATCATTTTTTTAATACCAAACTCTCTTAATTATTGTAGCTGTATTGTAATATTTGAAAGCAGGTCTTTTTTTTTTTTAATTCTTTTCTTTTAAATAATAGTTTTGGCTATTCCGAGTCCTTTGAATTTGCATTTAAAAATTGATTTATCAATTTTAATACAAATAAAAACTGTTGAGTAGCTCGGTGTGGTGCACACCTGTAATCCTAGCACTCTGCTTAGTGACTTAGGAAGACTGTCTCAAAATAAAAAGTAAAAAAGGACTTGGGATGTAGCTCAGTGAAGAGGCCCTGAGTTCAATCTCTAGTCTTGCAGAAACAAAACAAAACAAAACAAAATGATTGAGATATTTTGTATTCAGATCTCTTATTGAATCTTCACATCTGTATTAGGAAAAATGATGACATATTAACAGTATTTTTTTCTTTTTTATAGGAATAAGATATGCTCTCATTTTATTTAGAACTCCTTTATATTTTCTCAGTGATGATTTATATGATTCTATTTTTCCTCTTTGTATTATTCTTTCAATATAAAGTTCTCTTATGTACTTTCCCTTTTTTCTAAAGTGTAAAAAATTCTGTTACTATAAATTTCTTAAGTTTTTTGTTTCCAGTTTGTGGCTATAATATAGAGACACAGTCTATTTTTAAAACATTGACTTTGTACGTTGCCCTTCTGCTTTTAGTTCTAGTGCTTTGTATGTTAACTTGAATTATGTCTCTTTAACATTTAAACTCTTGACCATCTCTAATTTTGAAAGACTCTCCTACATCTTTAAAGATTCCTTCTTTACCTGGTTCCTATTCTATTTCTCTGCTCATGACTTCTCTGGTTCTTTAATTTTTAATTGTCAGGTATTCATGTCTCAAGACTTTCTGTTGGTCTCCCCCCAACTTTTTTTTTTTAATTTGCATTACTCTCATCTATTCACATGGCTTCAACTATCATGTAAATAGTTTTCCCTCAAATTCCCTTTACTGGTATAGGAAGTTTTTTTTTTCCCCTCCTTTACTGGTATCAATCACTCTCCTAATATCTACCCTGAACTGCCAAAAAATTTAGTTCCCTCCTTCAGTTATTACTTCAATCTCAACATTAAATCTTGAGGTCATTGTGTATCTTCACTCTTAGTTTTGCAAGCACATACATCTGTATTTGAATCTTGACACTATTACTAGACAGGTAATTTGGGCAAAATATTTGTTACCGCTGACTATTTTCCTCATTTATAAAATAAGAAAAATAATTGCAACTTCAGGCTTATGCTGATGATTAAACTTATTGCACATGTACACAGTTGCAGCTTATAGTGTTAATTACCTTCTCCTCCTTTCGTATTTTCTTGGTTTAGTACTCCCTCTTTTACAAGTTACATTATTCAGGACCAAATTCAAAATGTCAGTTCTTCCGAAAAAATACGTGATATACTTCAGGTACTTCCAACATTATGAACTCACATTTCCTTAATCTTCTTTTTTTCTGTTTCATAGCATTTTCGATCTTCACTTTTTGGCTCAACCTAATTTATCTCCTTCAAAATTGTGATATCCAAAAGAGCAGAATTTGTAGCTGATTCATCTTTGTATCTTCCAGACCAACTAAGTACCATTCACATCTGGTTGTTAACTGCATGTATTTCTTTCTTTCTTTTCACATGTATTTTTAAGAAATAGAGTGAACTGGTTCTGTAATGCAGATACAAAGACCAATTTACCTGGTACTAAACCTGTACCCCAGTGTGGTGCCTGCTCTGCCCTTGCCCACAATCTTTCCTCCTGCCCTGGAATCCACCTCCATTGTGGGATCAAGCTTTGGTTTTGGCTGTGGGTCAGCAGATCCCAGTGAAGGGTTTTGTGTGTTTAGGCCTCAAATCTTTGTCTTTTTTCTACTCTGTTCCTGGCATTTGCTGGTTTCTAGTGTATACTCTGTAGTCTCCAGCTGTTTTGATTTTATTCCATGGAAATACAAAATACCTTGTACATACTGCTGAAGTATTGTCTTGCAAGTTAAGACTTCCTTCTTTACTATAAGACTATAAATAAAAACTTATTTTATCCTTAAAAGGTATATATATTTATTTTTTTCCTTTGTCCTTTAGCTTCCTTATCAATGTGGCCAACATATATGTATAAAGAATGAAAATACAATTTCCTTTGTCTTAAACCTTGATATTGATTGTATAACATATTAAAACATAGCTATCTAATTATAAAATATCTTTAAAAATTAAATTTTAGCAAAAACATTTAATGCTCAAATGATTCATAGTAGTTGTAAACACTTAATTGAAGTAAGATTCACATGAGCTACAAAAAAATAAATGAGCCACAGCTTCTGATAAGTCATGTTTATACAATGGACTTTTTTATTCTTGTGAGTTTCACGCATATACTTTGTTTACTTCTTTTAGATTAAAAAATCTTACATGTTTGAATATAAATTATAACCAGCTAACCAGCATTCCTAGAGAACTTTGTTTCCTTGAGAATCTTTCTGAACTTCATCTTAACTACAATCAACTCATTTGCATACCTGAAGAGATTAAATTCTTAATGAAGCTCCAGAAGCTTTTTTTGGCCAGGAACAACATTGAGGATTTACAAGAGGTAAGCAAAATTGGGAGCTTGATACTTTTGTTTATTTGTTTTTGAAGAAGAACTTACCTCAACATGATTGCCAGTGGTTTGGATCAGCTTTGGATGTTGGTATACAACCCGTCACTTACTTTTACTCAGAGTAGATGGATTCAATTCCCAAATCCTTCTAATAAAGGAGAGTTTTAATTTGGATTAAATATAGGAGATACTGTATTTAGTAAATAAAAATGCAAGGTGCTTCAATTTGAATTTCAGATAAGCAATGAGTAATTCTTTAAGCATATCTGAGATGTTTCATGGGATGTACTTATACTAAAAATAATTCATTGTCTAAGATTTACATTTAAGTATTATATGCTTTATCAAGTTACTTTCTATACAGAACAAAATAAAAGTTTCTTTTGATTTTGGAATACATGCTAGAATATGTGCTTCCATTTTTTACTCTATGTGTGTTCTCAGTCTTCCTCCAACATGCCCTGGGCCAGAGACTCACCTGTATGGATATCAGTGAGCTCCTTTATCTTCTGGCTGTCTTTTGGGTTTGGCCAGTGAGAGACACTAGCAGGAAGTGAAAGGGCAAGAGTTAGTACCAGATAATATTCACGTGGAACCTTCTTTGGCAGGGCATTTTGGTTCTGTGCATTTCTGGAAGGCTGCAGTTAATGTCAGGTGGTCCTCTCACGGACAAGTACTATTTCTCTTTGGCTTTTTAGAACTAGGATGGTAAGAACTTCCTGCTGCTGCTAGCATTGTGAGTTTAAGGAGCCACTTTTTGTGGAAACTCAGTGTCCCTAAAACCAGGCAAACTTTTATCAATAGTACCTTTATCAAACTTTCCTCAGATTTGCAGTTTGAGAGTTTTTTCCCACTAAGAACATGTTGATGAATTTACTTTCCTTCATTGGGCAAGTTAGAGTTAATTTGCTAGGGAACACATGATGACAGTAAATTAAGGGAAAAAAAGAGCAGATTAATAAAGTCCACATACAAATGGAAAGTACCTACAGTTTTATTTTTTTCTTATGAAGATGTTTGCTTTAAAAATCTTATATATGTTATCCGTGAACATACATTAAAGTGGTAGGCAATACATCTTTAAAATATTTTCTTCTTAAATTTCTATTTTTAGCCAGGCATGGTGGTGCATGCCTGTAATGTCAGTATTCAGGAGGCTGAAGCAGGAGGATCACCATGAGTTTGAGGCTATCTTGGGCTATATAGTGAGTTCAAGTTCAGCCTCAACTACATAGTGAGACCCTGTCTCAAAAAAACCAAAACAAAACCAAAATTTTTTTTAAAAAGAAATTTTTAAAAGACTTGTGGGAAATGTGCATATGCAAAGATTTTAAAAATCTACAACAAAAATATCAAGTGCAACAATGGACTGCAGTCATGATAGTGACAAATTAATGAAAAAGAAATTCAATAACTACAGAAGTAGCATTATCAAGTGTTATCAAGTGTTTTTCAATATAAAGGTTATTTTAACTTGTGAATACTGAGAACATATTGGTGGTCTGAAAATGTTGTAGCTAACACAATAGTAAGAAGAGTATCATGACAATAGAAAGGTACATGGGACTTGAGAAGAGGATCATGTGTATGGTAAATGCCAGATTCCTTTTTAAGGATCTACTGCCCAGCTATAGGAATGAGAATAATAGACAACTTCAGTGATTAGCTCTTTCAGGGTCTGCCTTAGTTGGAGGGAGCCTCCTTTCTCCCCCAAAGTTATGCTCTTCCTGTATCTGTGACTGAGCAAGGAAGGGTTATAAAGACTTGACCTTTTCAGTTTGATGCTGAAAGATACACCCACTCTAGAGCTCCTCACCCACTTGAATGAGCTTCTGTTAGGTCTGTATCCCACCTTGACTTTTCCATTTGTCCAATCCTACTTCTTGACCTGATTTGTACAGAGGTGATCCCTATAAAACTCCTAGTACCAAAACTCCACCTCAGCATCTGCTTTCAGAGAATCCAACCTGTGATAAAATGTAGTAAGGTCAAAGAGAAAGGTGTTGGCATGACTAGAGACATACTATATCCTAGGGAGAAGATTGGCCATTAGAAAAGGTGGGTCATATCAGAAATATCTCTATAAGTTGAAATCATTTAGTAAATCATACTCTTATTTTTCATTTTAAAAAGTCTTGATATTTCTAGTTGAAAAGAAAAGAAAAAAACCTAGCTATCTGCCTGTTAGTAGGTACACTAGAACTCAGGTGTACCATAACAACCACATAGTTACCATGATCATACAGAGTTACATTGGGCATAGATACAGTTTTACTTCCTTCATAAAGAAAGGACTGCCTTGGCATGGTACTAAACTAAAGGTAGATGCATAATGAATTATCAATAGAGACAGCATTCTGGAATTACTCCTCAGCTTCTTTTTATATAATAGTAGGTAAGTTTATCAAGGGGTAATGATATCATAGCACCTTTAATAAGAACTTGTAGGTTAGAAACTCATTTAATGCATTTAACATCCACAGGAAATAGGAATTTCTATTAGTATTTCCATTTCACATGTGAAGAAATTAAAGTATTGAGAGTTTAGAAATTTGTCTGCAATTACATGTAGTAACTGTCAGAGGTGAGGTTTGAACCTAGAACTAGTCTTTCTTATAATATGTTATATTGGCCTGGGGTAGTCAGAGAAAAAACAGAACTCAAGATATTTGACCATCTATAGGAATCCTCTTTGAGAAGAGGTTCTGAAGAATCAATCAGGTAATTGGAAAAGTTGATCACTTCCATCAAGTTTGAGCTAAAAAACATGCTTCTGATTTTAGATATTAGATTTTTAAAAATCTTTTTTTTCCCTAACACAGGGCATTTGTGATCTTAAAAAACTAAGAATCCTAGACATAGCTGGAAATATTATTCAGATATTTCCACCAAGAGTAAGTAGAGTCAACTTCTATTATAATTGAGAAATAATTTTGTTTATACTATTGGGAATAGAAAAATACAGGCAACTAGTAAAAGTGTAATTGGCATCTTGAATTATATAAATAACTCAAAAATTTACTTTGTTCTAGAATTTCAAAACTTGTTCTTTCCCATTCTTTTCTTTGTGTTTGGTGCCTGTTGACCTTGTTTGAACTAAATGAACTCTGATTGCTATCATAAATATTTTAATATATCAGCTATGATTAAATTTTTTGGTTATTACATACTGCTTGTGGTCCCTTTAGGTGTCTTGAAAATATTATTTCTCAGGGCATAAATTTTTATCCTTTGTGATTAATCCAAAGGAGGCACTTTTGTTAGTCATTTTTAAGCCAAAAACAATGAAAAATGCACCTTTTTTCCCATTTGGAACTGAATTTTGACTTTGTTTTACTTCAGATAACTGAGAAACATTTCACTTTGGCGCCTTCTAACTTTTGGGAAAGAAATTACAGTTTTTCATATTGCATTTTTGTAGCCAAGTGACCATGTTTGAACATTCAAGGTAATAATTAAAAGTCCATTAATTCCAGAGCATACTCAACAAAAATAGCTGTTGATCCATTAATTATTTTTTGTGATTGATGGGCTCTAAATTGGGCTTTCAATTTTCTTCATCCTCTAAACAATATTTTATACTGAAGGTGATTGAAACATGAAAAAATGTGTTGAAAGTCTATGATTTAGGAAAAAATATATAATGGTTTTTATTGTGATTTTTAAAAGTACATATAACATAAAATTTACCATTCTAAGAATTTTAAGTATATGATCTGTCACACTGAGGATTTTCACCCTGTCTATCACTACCATCTACCTCTTGGATTTTCCATCTTTAACTGAAACTCTGAATCCATTAGACAAATTCTCCATTCTCTTTATAGCATTTAATTCAGTTCTTATAAGTATTATAGAAATGATAGCATTTTAAAATAAGATATTTTTCTCTCCTCTAGAAACTACCTTTATACTTTCTGTTTCTATGAATGTGACTACTCTTAGCACTTTACATAAAGGGCTTATGCAACATTTGTTCTTTTATGACTGGGTTATTTTACTTGGCATCATGTCTTCAAAGTTCATCCATGCCATATCAGAATTTCCTTCCTTTTTAGGCTGAATAATATCTCTATCTCTATCTCTATCTGTATCATCTCTATCTATATCATCTATGTCTTTCCCATTTTGTCTATCCGTTCATCTGAGGATGGATACTTGGGTTGTTTCCTCCTTTTGGCTACTGCAAATAATCTGATATTGGCATGGGTACACAAATACTGGTTTCTGCTTTCAGGTCCTCTGGATATGTACTCAGAAGTAGTATTACTGGACTATAATCCACGTTTAATTTTTTTAAGGATTCACTGTACTGTTTCCAAAATTTATAGTTTTAAATGTTTGGTGAGAGTTGGATGTTGTTGATGTTGACCTGGTAAATGCTATGATTTTATTCATTCTGTGGGTTTTAATTCAACTCTCTGTGCCCTATAATGCCATTCTGACTTCCAAGGCAGCCTATCACTGCCACTTTTCCCATGGTACCACTGTAGCTTGAACTACATAATGGAGTGATTCTTTTCAAATCTGTCTTGTTATTAGACTGTAGGCCTCCAAAGAGAAGGAATAACTTCCCTTTTAAAACTTCTTTTTCAGTAGTATCTTGAATTTCAAAAAATATTTGTCAAATAAATAAATCTAGATAATGTTGTTCAAGTGCATTCAATGTCCACCTTAATAATGCTGTTGATTCAGTTTCTTCTACAAAGTGATTCAATACTGACAATTTTGAAAAAACTCCATTACTTAGGTCCCAATAATGTACTTTTGACAGGATCTGAATCAGTTTCACCTTCTAGCACTCTGATGTGAACCTTAATTGTGTCAACTTGATTGGCTTAAGAAACACCCAGGGGATTAATAAAGCACATTTCTAGGTAGATTTGGGTGGATCATGGAGATGTAATTTTGGGCAGTATATATGGTTGCTAACCCCTTCCTCTCTGGTGCTGTTCCCTTGCTTTGCCTGTATATCATGAATTGAGCAGCTTTTCTTTGTTGTTCCCTTCCACTGTGTTTCTGCCTTGAAGCCAGCCAATCATGGACTTACTCCTCCAAACTGTGAGCCAAAGTAAATGTTTACTGCTTTAGGTACAGTGGTTAGGTACAGTGTCTCAATAATGAGACAGTTAACTAATATGAGCACCTATTTCAGACATTTCTGTAAACTTTCTAGAATAAGATAGTGTATGAGCTCTGATGAAAAATAATTTGCTTCAACTTTTTCAAAATGATTTTGATTTTTTTTTTCTTCTCATTATTTTTAGACAATAAATGTTTTGGGGCACTGCTCTACCCCCTAAAAGTCTGGGATAGTGCCTTCTACAGTGTAAGTGCTCAAATAAATATTTATAGGATTATTTATAAGAACTTTTACTGGTATAAATATCAGTAAAAATGGTGGGAGAAGGAGTTTAAGGGAGAAGCACCAGACTTGGGGTAGGAAGGCCTTTTTTTGGTAATTGCTGTAACTCCTTTATTTAGTAAGTTTCATTTGGGACCTCAAATTGAACATGAGTATATAGTGCACAGTCAATTTGCCATTGAGAAGGAGCATAAACAAGAAGCTTATTTGCTAAGCTTATAGTCTGTAGGCATTCAAGTCTTTTTAAAGATATTTCTCCCTATAAGCCTATTATAGTTGACATGTTGTCACCACTTGTTTGGTGGCCGAGTTACCCCAAAAAAGAATGGAAATGGGACTGTCCATGATTATTGATTCAAAACTTGTCCATGACTTTGATTTTGTGTTTGAAAAATGTAATAATTTGCTTCAAATTATTTTGAGCCAACTGGTGCAAAATCAGTTTCTTACATTTGATAAATAGTGCAACAAATGGGCCAAATGGCAAACAGGGTAAGTGACTGATTCTAGGCCATGATTGTCAGTGAAAGAGTAAATTTCATAATATTATAGTCAGATCTAGTACACAAGTCTTTCTTTTATCTCTTCTTTCTTTAATTTTTAAAATTAAAAAATGTGTAAATTATACATCCTTAATAAATATTAAGAATATAAAAAATACAGAATGAAAGTGAAAGTCTTTATTCCACGATCTTGAGATGCGTATATTTTTAGAAAAGTTTTGTTAAAACATTTTTCTTTATGCTATACTACATCTAGGTTGGTTTCATTTTATTCAATTTTCCAAAATGAGTTTTTAAAAAATTATTTGAATATTATCCAAATATTCAAAAGGTGTTGTCTATAGGAGAGAGTAGATAAAAAACAAAACTTGTCTGATTTGATTTGATATAACATTACACAATTGGAGTTCATTGGCAGTTCCTCAGATAAAATTATTTGATATATAATTCCTAAGACATATCACATTATTTAATAGTTTGCAAAGTGTCTTCTGCTTCCTGGGTGAGTAAGTATGGTTAAGGTTTATTTGAGATAATTGTTTTCTTTCTATCCATTTAGCTTGCTTGTCTATATATATTCTTTTAAGGTAGCATTTCTATATTTCTACATTTCGTAAAATGTAGAAAATAAGTAAGAATAGAAAGAGCAAATGTAAGGTGCCTTTAAGTTTACCTCTCAGAGACAATGCTCATTATTTTCTTCAAGCATCTCATTTTTCTATGCTCACTTAAAAAATCAAACTGAAAGTATACTGAATAAAGAAGTATATATCTTATTTTTTCAATAAGCATTATATATTGAACACTTCTTAAAAGAATATTTTTCAAATATTTTATTTTTAATTACTGAGTTCTAAATATTTTAAGACTTGCTCATTTTTTTAAACATTTTTATTTTCACTTATTGTACTTACATTTTGAATAAACAAACCTTTGAGAAAAAGATGCTTTGAAATAAAGTGACTTTTGTTTGCATACTTCTTGGGGCAATGTAGCTTGTGGTGGGCAGTGGAGCATCTATGGAACAATTATTGATCATTCACTTAGTATAGAAAACAATGATGCTTGGTGTATTAGTTTTCTTTGGCTGCCATAACACAGTACCACAAACTGGAGCACAAAGTAATATGCCTGTTCTTTTCTTTGGTGGATGTGATCCATCCTAACCAGTATGACCTCATCTTTACTAATTATATCTACAAAAGACTCTGTTTCTAAATAAGGTCATTCTGAAGTTTTAAGTAGATATGAATTTTCGGGAGAGATACTATTTGATCCATTGTACTTTGGTAGAATGTTGAACTTCTGTATTCTAGCTTCTGTCTGTATAATAGATGTAACTTTTTATTTGAGGCTATAATTTGCTAAAAAATTCAATTCAGCAAACATTGATTGAATGTGGCAACTGTCTTCCAGTGTTGGACTTAAAAGAATTCCTATCCTCATGGAACTTTGGTGAGACTAATGAATAAATCTGGAGATTTGGAATTCATGCTAGAGGAAACCTCTAGAAATTGAAGTGTGCTCTGTGAGGGCATAAGAGGAAGATAAACACAAATTTAACATTAGAAGATTAAAGAAACTGGCATTAATTAGCATGGGAAAAGAAGTGAGACAGGTAAGTAATAATTTCATTGGGCAGCTCAAAATACGAAAGCAGAAAATGACCAATTGCCCTCATAACTTTTGACAATAGAGAAAGACGAAATACTGTTATTTGCTGCTGAAGAGCTTTGAATAGGGCATCAGTGGGATTTCTGTGAGGAAAGAGTTATCAGTCTCTTACTCTAGATTTTAAAAGCAAGGGCAGAAAAGTTAGCCTGGGAAGTTGTGATTCAGTCCTTTCATCAGGAAGAAAATAAAGTACTGAGTTTTTTAGTTCCTTTGAAATGATTTTTTTTTTTTTCCTTTGGTACCAGAGATCGAACTCAGGTCCTTGGGCTTGCGAGGCAGGCGGCAGAACCACTGAGCTAAATCCCCGGTCCTGAAATTATTTTGAAAAAAAATTAAAAATGCTGATCTTTCT